TGGCCTGAGCGTGGGGCTCGGGCGTCGTTCCAGTGGGAAGGGCAAAAGGGAAAGCGCAAGCGATGGGCGAAGACAGAAATGCCTGCATGGGACTGCGTCAGACTCTTGCACTGCCCAGGGGGCCTCTGGCTATGGGGTGGCAGGAAAATGTGTTGAATAAAGTCATAAATAAAGCCACCGCTTTGGAGAGGAACTTTCACGATGAGCTAAACCTGAGCAGAAAAGGCAGAGGTGGGAGAAAGGGGAGCCAGGGAACTCGGCTGGATCAGGACCCCGGGCAGGGTCTGGTTTAACACCCCCGCCTCAGACTTCGGCAAGCTGAGCCGAGCGAAGGGGGCCACGGAGAGGAGCAGCTCTGGCCCGGCAGAAGGGCTGGCGTAGGCAGGGGTCCCCGAGGCCTCCGCCCAGCATCTCTGGCGAAAGGGTCTGGTTGCAGCGATGTGGAGAGAGCGGCTGGAGCCCTGGAGCCGCTCCAACCAGACAAGCAATCCTTTGATCCTGGAACAGCCAGTGCCTGGCTGCAGTGTGGGGAAGAGGCCCGACCCCATGGCCAGGGTAATGCGTGGGCTTTAAGGTGGCTACTCTGAACGGGCTCCGTGGTCTCTGAGGACGCAGCACAACCATGCTGGGATGTAAAGGAGACCACGAGAGGCAGTGTGGTGTAGTGGTTAAGAGTGCAGGACTGGGACTCAGGGGATCCGTGTTCTAGTCCCCATTCAGACATGGAGCAACCTGGGCGACTTGGGGTGAATCACAGTCTTTCACCTCAGCCTACTTCACAGGGCTGTTGTGAGGATCAGGTGGAGAGGAGGAGAATGATGTGGGCCACTTTGAGTTTGCCGTAAGAAAAAAGGTGGGATATAAATATAATAAATGAATAAATCAAGCACACCGTCCCTTCTTCCCGCAGCCTGGAGGAATTCCAGTGTTCGTCTCCAAGCCCAGAGCCTGCCGAGGCTCCAGCAGCAGTCAACTTCCCTCCAAACATTAAAGGTGCTTTATCTGCTACAGCCAAACCAGGTTCAGCACCATGGATGGCTCCTTTGATCCTCAGGCTGAAACCCGGAGTAGCTACCCCACCCAGCTGACACCGGGACGGCCAGGCTCCACTGCCCAGGGACCAATCCTGCAGCCTGTGTGGCGGGCTCGCCCCAGGACTCTGCAGGACCCCACAGGCCAGCCCGGCCCAGGATCATGGCGGGATCCCATGCATGTGCCCATTGCTTAGAGGGGGGTGCTCAACCTCTCCCAGCCCCAGGGTGGGGCGACATTTGACCCGGGCCGCACGCCAGGTGTGGGCGTTACCTAAGGCAAAGGGGCGGGGCCAGAGGCAGAAGCAGGGCACACCTGCCAGGCTATTCCTGCCAGTATTTATTTATTATTTATTTAAAGTATTTATATGCCATCCTGTCGTGAAAGCCTCAGGACAGCTCACATAGATAAAATACAATAAAATATAACATAGATAAAATTATCGATTCACACAGACTGCAATAAAAACATATAAGTCATGATATTAAAACTTGTTAAAATATTGCTGAAATAAAAAGGTCTTAACCTGGCGCCGAAAAACATATGATGGCGCCAGGCGGACCTCTCTGGGGAGCGCATTCCAAAGTCCAGGCGCCACTGCAGAGAAAGCCCTCCTCCGGGTACTCTGTCTCCTGATGTTTCTCCCGGAGGGCTCCCGGAGGAGGGCCTCTGCCGCCGATCTCAGGGGGCAGGAGGGCAAATATGGAAGCAGGCGTTCCTTTAGGTATCCAGGTCCCAAGCCGTTAAGGGCTTTATAGGTGATAACCAACACCTTGAATTGGGCCCGGACTTCGATGGGGAGCCAGTGAAGCTGGTAGAGGACCGGGCTTATGTGAGAGTAACACCCAGTCCCCGTCAGCAGCCTGGCAGCTCTATTCTGAACCAATTGAAGTATCCGGACCGTCTTCAAGGGTAGCCCCACGTAGAGCGCGTTACAGAAGTCAAGGCGGGAAGTCACCAGCGCGTGTGTCACTGTCACCAGGCAGTCGTACCCCAGGTAGGGGCGCAGCTGATGGATCAGCCGAAGCTGAAGGAAAGCGCTCCTCGCCACCGCTGTCACCTGAGCTTCCAGGGACAGCTCCGGGTCGAGGAGCACTCCCAAGCTGCGGACCTTGTCCCTAAGAGGGAGTGCAACCCCATTCAGGACCAGGTCAAATCCACCCTCTCCGAAGCCCAATCCGCCAACCAACAGGACCTCCGTCTTGTCTGGATTGAGCTTCAGTTTATGGGCCCTCATCCAGCCCATTACCTCGGCCAAGCACCGGTTCAGCACAGCCACTGCCTCACCTGGATTGGTGGAAAACGAGAGGTAGAGCTGGGTATCGTCAGCGTACTGATGATTCCGCAGCCCACACCTCATGGTGACCTCTCCCAGCGGTTTCATGTAGATATTAAATAGCATGTAGATCTTAAAATAGCTTGGATGTGTTCAGTATCCAAGCCTTAACACAAGTGTGTAACACACGTGTGCACAAGACTATGCACCGTTAGACAGGAGCAAGGCCCACGAGGCTCCCTGTTCCCCAGGCCGGCTGGGATGCAACCCTAGGACAGTATTCTGTCTAAATATGCATCGGATCCCACCCTTCAAATGATGCCAAACCCAGGAAAACACTGTGGCTGAAGACTGGGAGAAGGGAAAATGGGGTGGGGGGACAGGCGCCCCCCGGAGCTGCACTGGGGCCCCTGGAGGGCCGGCTCTGCCCCCTGTGGAGGCCTAGAACGGAGAGACGTGTCTGTGCCGGGAGCAGGCAGCTGCCAGCCCTGGCCAGCGCGGGGGCCCTCCCTGGAGCGCATCGATCAGCTAAATATATGCCACTTGCAGCGGGGGGGGGGGGGGGGGGGCGGAAAAACACCCCTAATTGCGGGGGGGGGGGGAAAAGGATCCCGGGGGGGGGGGGGGTGGGCTTTTTTTGCCCCCCCGGGGGGGGGGCCTGGGGCCCGGCCCCCACCCCCCCCCCCCCCCCGCCCTGCGCTCGCGGTTCTATTAGAGGCCGGCTGAATAATTCATCGGACGAGAAGGCTCAGCCGCGAGCGGGGAGGGGGGGGGGGGCGCCTGACCCCCGCGGGGGGGGGACACACACGCCCCCGCTGCGCGGGGGGGGGGGTGCCAGAGGGGCACGTGTGCAGCCCCCCCCACACACATCCTGCATGCTTGTTCTCTTTTATCTTTTTACGGGCAGCTCTGATTGGTTCAGCTCCATGCTCAGGGGCTTCTCAAGGGAGCCAGCAGCCTGCAAAACTCTTGCAGAAGCATTCCTCCGAGGAAGGGGAGACAGGGAGCGCCAAACTCCCAGAACTGATGTTGCAGAAAGTTAATGAGCAGTGCATAAAATAATTCATTTGCTCGCGCTGAGGACTCGGAGCTCATGACGTTGTGGAGAAACCAACACCGATTAGATGTACCTGCTCCCTGGAAGGGATGAAGCGCAGAAGGCAGGCAGTGATGTGCAGTGGTTAGAGTCGGGGGGGAGCTATAGAGACACAGACTCAGCTTTCATGGGGCAGCCCTGGGCTACTCCCTGGTTCTCAGTCTGACCTGTGGCACAGGCGTGGGGGCTCCATGGCACCCTGCCCCCCACCCCCCTGCAGCCAGGAGATCCGCCTAGGGCCTGCTGCGGCTGCTCCACCAGGCCTTCCCACATGCCCTCCTCACATCCCAGAATACGGAACCTCTGCACTGCCCTCCGTCCGCCAGGCGTGGATGCGCCCATCGCCCTATTCACGGGGCCAGAAGGGGGGAAGCGAGCGAGGCACACACCCCTGAGCTCCCGAGCCAGGGCAGGGCATGAGGGCAGGAGCGCCGGACAAGGGAGAGTGAACGGGGAGACACGACCCACGGAGCAGGCCTGTGCCCTCTTCCGGCTGCGTGTGCAGCGCTCAGAGCCTCGAGGGCAAACGCCCTGCCGCCAGCAGCTGCTCCGACTGCCCGCGCTTCCCCCAGAGGACGCTCTGCAAAGTGCTCTTCTGCGGCTCCTGAATATTTCATTTGCCTTTATTTATGCCTTACCTTTTTATCCCAGCCTTCCTCAAAGGGCAGCTGAGATTGCCTTTTTCTCCCCGCCAGTCAGCTGCATCAGTGCAATTCACAACGACCCTGTGAGGTAGGACGAGGGGTGCCGCCCAGCCTCAGGTCACCCTGACGGACGGACGGCTTCCTGGCTCGGGGGGGGGGGTCAGGAGCGCTGAAGTGGCGCTTGCTGAGCATCTTCCCATGTTCTCTCTTCCTGCCCCGAATGACCCGCTTGCATCAGTGCCTTGGGAGTGGGGGGCCAGGGGGCAGAAAGCCTGTGGCCGAGGGAGGTCATGGAACAAAGAGAGGCTCCTGAGAGCTGGAGCCTGCCTGAGGAGGAACCTGAGGGGCGGGGGGGGACGGCGGGGGGAATGTGCTGATGGAGGTTCACGCAGAGGCCGCCGTGTAAATACAACGGACTGCCGCGTGGGCTCCGGGACAGCTGCCATCCCCAGGCACCCTGGGAAGGCCGCTGATGAAATCTTTATAAAGGCACCGCCACGAGAAGGGAGTCGGGGAGCCGAGGCGTGCCAGGCGCTGCGTGTGCATTGGGACACGTTCCACTCAGATGCCGACGCTGCTCCGACCAAACCTGTGGCCACTTGCTTGGGGGAGCAGGAGCCACGGCAGCCCAGACACGCCTGGGATAGCCAAGCCCCACCACCCCCTGCCCGGTATGGTCAGCTGCCGTTTAGGAAGAAAACTGCAGCAAATCAGACCCAGGTTGGCAGCACGTTCCTCTAGATGTGTTGGACAACAAATCCCATGAACCCCAGCCAGCATGGCCGACAGCTGGGGATGGTGGGATGGTCTGCTTATTCCTGAGACTTGCCTGATACAACGGCCCTTCCTGTTCATCCTCCTGACCCTTCTCTGCCTTCAGCACCACCATCCGCTGCTTTAAATGGTCTGGACAGAGGCCAGTCCAGCAGGTTCTGCTCACAGGTAGGGGTGGATGCACATGATTTCAGGCTGCAGCGCTCCTCTGGAGCAGAGGAGCTGCTCCCCAGCACCCATCAAGCCGGGAAGCCCACCTGTCAAACGAGGCGCACCTTTGCGGCCTCTTCCTGCCTTCAAGTCCTCTCTCGAGCTCCCCTCACCGGCCAAGCCCCCGCGATGGCTCCTGCTCGCTGCTTGCCTGAGAGGTGGTCACGGAAGGCTGCGCCACTCGGGAAGCACCTTTCGCACCTGCGCCCCTCAAGGCTTCCCGACCCTGGCTGTGCTACCTGGCCGCCTGGCAGGGCTGGTCAAGGTGTCTGGAAGGCGCAACGCTCGGAAGGGCAGCCTGAGCAGGCATGAAGGTGAGAACCTGCGCCGGGCCCTCCCTCGGGTCAGGAGGGCAAAGGCAGCGGGCGGCGACACGCGCACGCCCGGGCCCTTCTCCTGAACACGCGCTGCAATCCCCGCGCAGCGGAGAACAGCGGGCCCCGCTCCGAGGAGCTCTTCCTGCCGCCCACGCTTGGCCCAGCAGGACTTCCCTCCAGCTCTTTTAGCCAATGCCTCCCTCCTCTGGCAGGAACCCAATCCTCAAGCGGGCTTCCTTCTGCAGCGCCGTGCACACGCTCTCCGCCCCGGTGCCGAGAGCCCTTCCGGAGCGCAATGCACATGCCAACCGAGCCAGCGCCGCAGGAGGCGGGGGGCTTTGCGGAACAGCCCGCGAGCCGCCCCGGGAGGAGCGCCGGCCCTCGAGGCTGCGCTGGAAGGCGCTTGTGCGGGCGACCTGCTCGGCGGGGACGCCTCCTGCTCCCCCAGAGCTAGCGAGCTGCGCCTCTCTGTCCGTAGTTCTCTGGGAAGCCGGCAACACCCGGGGGTGACTCGCATGTGAGAACGCACAGCCACGGCCAGGCGGCACGCTGCAGCCTCCTTTCCCAGCAGGCTGTCCCTGCGGCCCCCGCCCCCCGTGCCTGGAATGCCGCCACCGGGATGCCTCCGCAGCCCCCCACCCCTCTTCGCCCTTCAAACCCTCCTCGCCTCTCCGCTCTGCCGGGAAGCTCCGCCAGAATCGCGGGCGCAGCACCGGCCACGGGGTCTCCCGCTTGGCCGGCGCTCTGCCCCTCTGGCCGGTCACGGGGCGGCCACCCAAAGTGCAGCGGGGAGAGGGGAACCCCTGGATCAGCCGCCGGCCTATCATTTCCCATGCCGGGAGTGGCCACAAAAGTGCCTCTGAGAAAGTCCAGAAGTCTCGAGTCCCGCCCGACGCGTTCCTCAAATTACGTGGCTGCCTTAGACGAGCGATCTGGCCAAGGTCCCGACTCCCCCTGCAAGGAAAAGTGGGGAGCGGGGTTGCTGCCTCCCAAGGGCGCTCCGACTGCGGCGACCCGCCCCCCACAGAGAGGCCGAGCAAAGGCACGGGTAGGCCACCCGGCAGAGGCCCACCGCTTCCCACGCGCGTGGGCTGGCGACCCTACGGGAGATCCCCCAGCTGGCCCCGTCCCTCCGCCGCCTCGCTGTGAATGGCTGCGCCCACTCGCTTCCGCGCAGGAGAGGCTGCGACAGAAAGGACGGCGAGGGTTGGGGCGCAGCTGCCCGACCCCCACAGCCCTGGCCGCGGAGCTCGCGTTGCGCCGGGCAAGAGCCTCGGGAGAGGCCCGCCAGCTGGCCCGCTCGGGTGGGGAAGGCAGGGAGGCTTCCCCGCGGCCCGCCGGCGTCCAGAAGCCTCGGCGCTGCTGCCCGGTTTGCGCGGGCTCCTTTGAAAGCCGCGCGTTCTCCGGGGCGCCCAGCCAATCTCGCCCGGCGGCCTCC